CAACAAACTGCGTAGCTTTGCCGCCGATCGCGACGCCTGGAAGGAATCCACGGAGCTTGTCATCATGGGCCTCACCCGCGGCCACAAGCGTCCCCGCGCGACTACAGAAGAACAAGATGCACCCCCGCGCCGCCGCCTGCGCAGCCACGGCCCGGTGAGTGAATGAAGAAGAAGGAGATTGCTAGTCTCTACGTATGCGAACTCTTTGTAAGGAAGATAACGCGAAACACGTTCATATATATCAAGGTACGGAAGCGGGTCGACCGGATGACGGACGCTATCATCAAAAGCTGAGACGAATCAGATCGTTACTGGTATGCAAGTGGTGGTGGGCAGTGATGACGCCGGAAAGAACGTGTAATCCACCCGTCAAGGTCATACTCAGTTACAGGAAATTGGCGCCAGTGTGAATATTGGTCGATGCGAATCAGCATAAAGTATGTTTTCCCAACGTTGGCATACCGGATGTCTTGTACTGCAAAATCGGATGGTGCAGTGCCCCACAAACTGTACGGCCAGCCATCGTCGTTGCAGCTGCGACCTTACGCAGAGAGCACACCGGTTTCTAGAGGTACCAGCCAGGATCCCGTGGACGACGAGAGATTGACGAAAGCACGCTTGATTTCCGGATCTGGCATACGCCCTTGCTGACTACTGCACGCAATTGAGCAGCATCTCGCTAGCGCGCTCGCGGCTCCAGCCAAGCTTGGATCGTGGCAGACTGTATGCGCTGGTGTGCGACGTTGACGGTCGCGATCTGAGACGGCTTCCAGTCATAGATATGGGTCTCGTTTAGTGCCAGCTCGTACACAGATTTGTATGCAGTGGACGGGAGGAACTCAGATACATCCCATACAGTTTTCTAGTATACATCTGAGCCTCGGAGTGTTTATCTGATACATGGATCTGAGTTGCTGGGTGTATCCAGTGCTAACGGGTCGTGTTGGACGATCCTGTTGATGAACGCCCTGCGCCACGACTTCTGGCTTTACGACCACTTCATTCCAGCCTGCAACATCCACTCGCCTCGCTTTCGCTACGGGAAAGCCTCGTAGCTGCCGTAAGTCGCAACACGCGCGAAGTCGAAAGTTCACCACCAAAACCAGTTCTGTGTTAATTGTACCCAAATGAGCTCCCTTCAACAAGAACGATCCTGTTGATTCCGCCGGCATGTTCTCTGATTTCGACACAGATACACCGAGATTTCGACGAAGCGAGAGCACACTCGATGCTCACTTTTGCTTTTGCTTTCTCCGCCCCACACCAATACGCATCATGAAGGCTGCTCTCATTCTCGCTGCGATCGCAACGGCAGCGCACGCCAAGGTCGCTAGCTCCGTCTTGCGTGCCTTGGAAGTCGACGGTGCCACGGACGTCTTTGTGCGCTTTGCCGACAATCCGTTTGAGGACGAGCTCATCGACGGCGCCTCGCGCCAGGACGTGTACGACTACCTCACGGCGCGCTCGGAAGACGCCAAGAAGGCGCTTGGTGGCGTCACCGACGACTTTGAGACGGAAACGTTCTGGATCGTCTCGGGCACGATCGTCAAGGCGGCGAACCAGGACGTGGTCGACAAGCTCGCAAAGAACGGCGGGGTCAAGGCTATTGAGCCCGTGCCTGTCTACAAGCTCGAGCCCGTGCTCAAGCAGACGCGCGCCGAAGCGGCCATCGCGGCCAACGCTACCGTCCAGTGGGGCGTCCAGACCGTCGGTGCCCCCAGCGTGTGGAGCCGCTTCAATGGCAAGGGTGTCGTCGTCGGATCGGTGGATACCGGCGCCCGTCATACGCACCAACTCATCAAGGACTCGTGGCGCGCCGACCGTGGGTGGTTTGACCCGTACCGGAAGACCAAGTTGCCCCAAGATCTCAACGGCCACGGCACGCATACGATCGGCACGATGGTCGGCAAGCACGGCTTCGGTGTCGCCCCCGGCGCGCAGTGGATCGCTTGCCGCGGCTTGTACCAAGGTAGCGGCACGAACGATGCGCTCCTCAAGTGCCTTCAGTTCATGGTGTGCCCGACGCTCACGGATGGGACGCAGCCCGACTGCTCGAAGGGTGCCGACGTCATCAACAACTCGTGGGGCGGGTCAGCGTACGACCCAATCTTTGAAGAAGCCATCGCCAACATCCGCAAGGCTGGCATCATTCCCGTGTTTGCCAACGGCAACTCGGGCCCGGCCTGCGGCACGGTGGGTTACCCCGGCGGCTACAAGAATGTGATTTCGGTCGGCGCCATTGGCTCGTACGAGAACGAGCCCAACAAGCTCGCGTTCTTCTCGTCCAAGGGGCCCGCCACGTACCGAGACAAGACCGGCGTCCAGCAAAAGCTTGTCAAGCCGGCCATCTCGGCCCCCGGCTTTTACACGCTCTCGGCGACCCACACGGGCGATACGGCGACCGCGAGCTTGGCGGGCACGTCGATGGCCGCGCCGCACGTCGCTGGTGTCGTCGCGCTCCTCAAGTCGGCCAACAAGGCCTTGACGTACGACGAGGTCTACGCCTACTTGACCAAGACGGCCGACCGGGCGCTCGAGCCCGAGCCCGCCA